CTGTAGCTCAAGTGGTAGAGCGCTTGCCTTGAGCTGAAGAGCTGAGGGACAGCACCCAGGCCCAGAGTTCAAGCCCCATGACCGACAAAAAAAAAAAAAAAAAACTTGTGGTGGGGCAAATTTAAAAAGATGGACACAAAAATGAACATATTTGTCCCTTGGTGAATAGATAAAAAATGAAAAATGGGATTATTGACACCTCTCTTTTTATTTAGGATCTTCTGGGAAAGGACATTTTGGAATTCTGCCACCCTGAGGATCAGAGCCATCTGCGTGAGAGTTTCCAGCAGGTACTGACTGCTGCATGTGTCCTAAGGTGTGCCAGGCCTGTGTGTGTGCGTGTGTGTGTGTGTGCGTGCATGTGTGTGTGCGTGCATGCGCACATGGCCCGAGGGGCGTGAGTCCTAGGGTATGCCAGGCCTGTGTGTGTGTGCGTGTGTGTGTGCGTGCATGCGCACATGGCCCGAGGGGCGTGAATCCTAGGGTATGCCAGGCCTGTGTGTGTGTGTGTGTGTGTGCATGGCCCGAGGGGCATGAGTCCTAGAGTGTGCCAGGCCTGTGTATGTGCGTGTGCACATGGCCCGAGGGGTGTGAGTCCTAGGGTGTGCCAGGCCTCTGTGTGTGTGTGTGTGTGCGTGCGTGAGCGCATGGCCCGAGGGGTGTGAGTCCTAGGGTGTGCCAGGCCTCTGTGTGTGTGTGTGCGCGTGTGCGTGTGCGCATGGCCCGAGGGGCCTGAGTCCTAGGGTGTGCCAAGCCTCTGTGTCTGTGTGTGTGTGTGTGCGCGTGTGCGTGTGTGCGTGTGTGCATGCACGCATGGCCCGAGGGGCCTGAGTCCTAGGGTGTGCCAGGCCTCTGTGTGTGTGTGCGCGTGTGCGCATGGCCGGAGGGGCCGGAGTCCTAGGGTGTGCCAGGCCTCTGTGTCTGTGTGCGTGTGTGCGTGTGTGTGCGTGTGTGTGTGTGCGCGCGTGTGCGTGCGCGCATGGCCCGAGGGGCCTGAGTCCTAGGGTGTGCCAGGCAGGCTACAAGTTCCCACGGAAGGTCTGTCAGGGAGCCCTGGCTGCACTGCCCGGGGGTCGGGTGTGACCGGAGGCCCAGCACCAGGCAGCGAGCCGGGCGCCGGCCGCCCCTGTAGCCCTGGACAGCCTTGGAGCTTCCTCCGGGCAAGGGGTCGGGTGCAGGGCGCCTGCCCGGCGGCCGCTCCGTCGGCGCTCCCCCGCTCAGCCCCCGACCTCCCAATGTCTCCCCAGGTGGTGAAGCTGAAAGGCCAAGTGCTGTCCGTCATGTACCGCTTCCGCACCAAGAACCGGGAGTGGATGCTGATCCGCACCAGCAGCTTCACCTTCCAGAACCCGTACTCGGACGAGATTGAGTACATCATCTGCACCAACACCAACGTCAAGTACGTGCGGGCTCTGTGCCTCCGCCGCCCGGCCTCCACAGGCCCCGCCCCCGCCCTCCGC